AAAAGCAATCTACAGATTCAATGCAATCCCCATTAAAATCCCAACTCTCTTTTCTATTCTTTATAAATCACAAAAGTAATTACTCAGAAAAGAATCTTCTGCAACAAAACCCCAAATGAGTTTAATGTATAATTTATATATGAAAATGAAGATGTCAGTGTGTGATGAATCTCCACATAAATATTTTTGCAGTTAAAATTTTTGGCATCTGTCTTCTTCCCAAAGGACTTGCCAGACGGATGTGAGGCCTACAAACTCAGGCTGAGTGGGGCTGGAAAGCCTTGGCTTGTGGACTACCCCAGCTTGTGATTTGGTTGCCAGAACACCAAGCCCAGATTTTGCATCAGCCACCTAAAGTCATGTCAGAGCTCTGTTACAACCTCTGTGGGTGTAGGGAGAGGTGCTAAGGGGAAGTGTTCCTGCTATTTCTTGTTCAGAGCAGGTATATAACATTGTCTCGGCTCTATGCTCAGTCTCAAGGAAGGAAAACACAGTGAAATATAGCTTGAAGTTCTAGCAGTTTGAAATCTACTGGGAGAGTCACACAAATGAATGGCGAATAACAATCTCAGGGTGGCAAATGCTACCTATGTGCCAGAAAGGTACAGAGAAGCAAGCCCTCCCTGCATCAATGACATCCCCCAAGACTCCAGAGACAGAGGTGTTGGATAAAACAAAATAACATTACCAACAGTAAGAAAAACATTCACAAAGATCAGGGTGACAGTGGACATGATGAGGTGGTGTCATCATGCCTGTGGAATGTATTGGAACTGACCAACAGTGAGGCTAGATCGGAAGGCAGAAGCTAGGCCACCAACAGGTCTGCACTGGATTTGGCCTGGGTTGAACTCTTTGAACAGATCAAAGCTGTGCTTCACTTGATGAATAGATGGAGACAAGTGAGGTATGATCAAGTGCATATGTGTTGCAAAGTATAGAGTTGGGGCTATGTGTTTTCAAAAAAAATAAATAAATCCCTTACATGCTAAGAGACTAGAACTTTTGCTGGACTTTACAGCCAGACTTAGTAACATATCTTGAGTTCACTTAAGACTTAAAATCACATTCCTACTGTGTACTCAGCCTGTTTGTTTAATCTGCCTTTAAGAGGACAATACAACCAACTTTAATTGCCTTGGATTTCCCATGTATTCAACTTTTACAACCTAAGATAATACATAGCTATAATCTTAATCCATCTGGCATTAGTGAACTGCACCATGTTTCAGCCTTTGAAACTTTGAATAGATGGATCATAGGGCATTCGGTCGACTGACATAGCAGCATCGGGAATACTGGTGACTCAAGTACCAGGAGCCAAGTGTTATACAAGGCAGCTCCCATGGCCCTCACTCAAGAGTGATGTGTGTGTTTTTGTACATGTGCTATAATAATCAAGTGCTGAAAGAGCAAGTATCGGTTGAAACCAATCTTATAAAATGAATATCCACCAAAAATGTTGAACGCAGCATATGAATGTTGGTTGGTAAATAGCAATGTATGGAGTTGTTACCTGGGTCAGTTAGGGTCAATGACTTAATCTACTGTAAAACTTTGTTAAAGATTCCTGTGAAGCACCCTTTATTCCTTTCCCCATGTGGTGCTTTCTGTATTTTTCACTAAAAGAGAGAGCAAACTCTTTGTTAGGAACACACACACAGAGACAGGGACAAACAGATTCACAAGACGGCCTTCAGGCAGGCACATAATCAGACTCACACAACAGACAAAGGGCTATGGAAGATGCAGGGAGACTGAAGATTCAAACCTGGGCTCACTCTTGATCAATGACACCAAAAGAAAATGTTCCACTGATCTCTGTACTTAATGCATGCAACACCAAGCACGTTATTGGTGACTCTGAAGTTCCTTTATTGTAATGTTTTCAAAGGAACCATAAATTGAGTACAACAAACACAAAAGCTACTCTCCATAGCAGAATCTGAAATGTGCAAGGTGCATTATAACCACAACCCACAGTATCCTCTCTTATGAAGACGTATACACTGTGCTGTGATACAGAGTTCAGACCCAAGCTGAGAACCTGAGTCTATATTCCAGGGAGGAAGGACCTACTTATTTTCATTGTACTTTAATTAGAACTGTTAGTGAGAGTGGAGAATATGCCCTTTGTCTGGGCATATATCTTATGTGCATAAGACCTTAGATTCAATTCCCAGAATCAGAAAAAGAAAAAAGGACTATGTTTTCTATTATCCACCATGCAATTGTCAAGCATCAGTTTCCATGGTGCCTTCTTTGAATTGGAGCCTTATACAAGACAAAGCAAGTCGACATTTCCCCACCCCATCTGGGTCCTACATCGTCTCTACCACATTATTCTTCTATAATTCTGGTTGGAAGTCCAAGCTAGTAGAACCAAAGGCCCCAGCACAAGGGTTCCAAATCCCCAGTCTTTATCACACCAGCGCCCATATAATAGGAGAACCCAGGCTTGACTTGTTTACTTTTCCATTATTAGTGAAGATTGGTGACCCCAAGCCACATACCTCTCTTGACCTTTGCCGGCCTAAGGCCCTCTGCCTGAGCCAGGGTATCCCATACCTCCCGTTCCCTCCAACGCCGAAGCTGCTCCTCTCGCATCTTATAGAAGAGGATGTGCTTTTGCACATCACTGAGCTCAGCCAGAAGCTCTGGGTCGATGTACATGTCTTGCAGGATCTGCTGCAGCATGATGCTGTGGGGGACACACGCTGGAGTGCAGCCAGTCAGAACTCCAGGGCGAGGCAGATCCCTGGGCCAAGCCAATGCCTCGAGCCAATTCTGCCCTAGATCCTCACTTTGGAGCCACTCTAGATGTCCTTTCCTTGTATGGCATCTTTGCTCTGTAGCTCCCAGCCAGTGATGAATTCATATCGGCCAAGATGGCATTGTTCAGCCCAAGCAGCAAGAACCAAGGAGCTCTGAGGGAAAGCAGAGGCAGAAAGCTGTCTAGTCCTGGGTTCCTAGTAAGATCACTTATCATTAGATCACTGCATTTCATCAGCACCTTGTGTCGTAGCTTCTGAGACAGTAAGAGTCCAAACCTCTGTTCAGACCCAAATCCGCCTGGGTCGGTAGGTGTCGAGTGATCTGTTAGTGGAAGGTAACAATGACACCAGCTGTATCAGTGACACTGGCCTGGCCAGCTGAGAACTGATCCCTCCCCTGCAGATAAGAGGGGGTGGGGAAGAAGAAGTTTTGCCTACTAATTCCGTGTCTTTTGAGCCAATGTCAAACAGGGACCTACGAAACTTTCCAAAGCTTCTGGGACCCACGATGCCACACTGCATCTGCTTCACCATGGACAACCTTCCTCATTTCAGGGCCCCTGGAAGACGGAGGTATTTCTTTCTAAAGTGCCTTGGGGAGAAAATGTCTTCCTTCCTATCTGTTTTGGATTCAAGGTGGAGAACAAAATGGAATCAGAAGGGGAAATGTAGGGGTTGTTTGTGGCAATAAAGATGACATCATTTCCTCTTACCCTAGAACAGACTTTTAAACTCTGCATGTGTTTAAAGACAGGCCTCTCCAGGGGGCTATTTGGGAGGTTGTTGTTGATATCCTTGCTGTTCAAGTCCTTTAACATAAAGCAAACTTGTCATTCTGCTTTAATAGAAGCATCCAGGCTTCTGCTTTGAGGAGGCAAAAGGCTCTGGCCTGAAGGGCAGGTAGGAGCTGCTATCTGAGACCTGAGGCTTCCTTTCTAGTAAGCTTACTTGCAGAGCAGTTCTTAGGTGCCCCTTTATCCAGACAGGAAAGTCCAGGAAGGCAGCACATGCCTAGGGCTATCCAGCCAGTAAGCTGCTGCACCAGCCCTCCACCCAGGTTTCAAATTTGACATCCTCTTGGTAGTTTAAAGCTGCAACCCTATCCAGAGAAAACAGGCAGGATCTGGCACTGTGAGCCAGTTGGATTGGTGGTATTAGTGTCTCCACTTCCCTAAGGATGGAAGATGGATCCCAAAACCAAGAGGCGTGGAAGAGACCAGTAGTCTGAATCTTTCTTCCTCTGCAAGACTGATGATGAAGGCAAGCAGAACTAAGCAGAGTCTCACCAGTTAAGTCCACGGGGTCAAAAAGGTGAGCCAGACACCCTCCTCTCAGGCCAGTCCCTTTGTTGCCAGGTATGACTGAGAGCTAAAACCCTCCACATAGGACTCCTACTGAGACAGAACTGTCACTTTGACCTAGATCCTTCCTAGTCACAACTACTGACTGCTCCCACTACCGCTCTGGATCCCCTCAGTGCCCACTTAGCCATTCACACCCTCCCCCACCCCACCCCAACTACCCCTTGCCTCTGATTTGATTACTTTTGTTTTTCTCGCCATGTGAGCTGGTTAATTTTTATTAACTTGACACAAGCTAGAGTCAACTAGGAAGGGAAACCTCAATCGATGAATTGTTTCAGTCAGACAAGTCTAAGAGATTATTGCTGATTGTTGTGGGAGGTCTCAGCCCACTGTGCCATCCGGGGAAGAAAGGTAGCTGAGCAAGCACGGGGAAGAAACCCAAGAAGCAGCCTTTCTGGGGATCTCTGCTTCAGACCCTGCCTTGGTTTCCCTTGGTGTTACAATGTATGCTATAACATGAAATAAACCTTCTGTCCTCTCTCCTCTTGTTTCCCCCTTTCCAAGTGCTGGGTTGTGCTACCACTCTCAGTTTTATGAAACTTGTGTTTGGGGGTTGTAATCAGGGTTAAGCACATCTCCACCTCCATTTTAGTATTCCAATTGTTTGGGGTGGGGGGAGGGGAGGGAGGGGACACCCAGGACAGATAAAGCGAAAAGGCAAAAAAACGAGGGATATGTCCACAGTGTGATTTGTTTTAAAATTTGTGTTTGAACCCCTAGGGTTCAAACTTGGGAGAGGACAGAAATGGTGAGAGAAATTATGTTTGATTATTTCTGTGTAAACAAAGGGAAGCATACAGAAAATTTCACACCTAATAGCTTAATTGGTTTCTTCTTAGAGAGTAGGGGTTGATTGCTATACAGTAAGTTAGATAGTCTTAGATAGTCTTATATAACACATATGATTAAAGTCAAATGTATTTCAAAGTTCCTAAAATGTGCTCTACAAACACACCTGGAAAGCAGCCCCCATGAGGCTCACCACTAAAAAGAACTCTGAAGGCAAAGCCAGGCTTCTCTACCCTGGAGAAGTCAGGAGGGCACCTGGGTTCCTGAGCTGGAGAAAAGCTTTGAGAATTTCTGAGGGGAAGTGTTAAGGAAAAGGCATTGGACAAAGTTTGTAGGGACATGCCCCTCCATACCCCCTTAGATTTATGTACCTCATACTGGTCTAGAACTAGCTATGTACTTGAGGGGGTCTTTGAACATCTGATCCTCTTGTTTCCCCCTTTCCAAGTGCTGGGTTGTGCTACCACTCTCAGTTTTATGAAACTTGTGTTTGGGGGTTGTAATCAGGGTTAAGCACATCTCCACCTCCATTTTTAAAACTTAAGTCAAGGCAAGCAATTTTTCTGAGCAAAACCTAGTTACTAATGTCTAAACCCAAGTCCTCACAGGGACTCAGTCTGCCTAGGATACACTTGGCTCCTCACCAAATCCCAGTCTTTGTTCATATGTATCTTTCTTTTGCAATGCTGGAAATCAAACCCAGCATTTACACTGTATGGGCTCTAGTAGAGATCTACCTTCTCTGACTGGCTCGATTTGTTCACTACCCTGCACTCCTAACTCTTCCCACTCACTTCTCTGCTCTGTGTTTTTCCTTAGCATTTAACTTTGTAAACCACTATTTTACTTATTGATTTGTTGCTGTATTTTTGTCTGTCTCCTTGCTAGATAATAAGCAACTGACAGCAGGTGTTTTCATCTGCTTCACAGTGTAGAAAGAACACTGCTGAGTAGTCCTGGATAAACAGCTATAGAAAAGAAGGAAAGGCTGGGGAGACAGTTCTGCTATAATTTCTTAACATGTACAAAACCCTGGGCTTGATACTCAGCATCGTGTAAACCCGGAATGGTGTGGTGTGCACTTTTAATCTCAGAATGTGAGCAGCGATGGTAGAAAGACCAAGAGTTCAGAGTCATTGTCAGCTTTTGGTAAGTTTGAGAATGGCCTGGACCACATGAGACTCTGACTCAAAACAAGGAGGGGCGGAGATGAGGAAAGAACTTTCTAGGTAGAATTGATCAGAGCTTGAGCAAATGTTGTGGAGTCCAATTGCTGGATACTTGGACCCTGTAGTCAAGGGAAGATAGGCTTCATTAAATGGATGAATGGCCCTGTCATAAGTTACTTGCCCTTGCTTCTCAGTCATCCCCAAATATATGTCCCCAACAAGGCAGTGATGGCTACTGGACTCCATCATCTTAGCCACAGGCAAGCCCCTGAGAACAACTACAGAAAGGTCAGTGGCAGGGCAGTCCTGCTTACCTACCATCTGCCTGCCCTGGTACAATGTTACTTGAGGAAGCTGCTCCCAAGAGCATACTTCAGATGTCAGTTGTACAGTCCAAGAGCTCTGTGAAAGACAACAGGAATTTCTATCCCATTGCCACTAAACATAGTAAGAGTAACAAACATAAGAAACATGATAGGCAACAGGGCACATGACTATATTCACAGCACTCAGGGGGCTGAAATGAAGAACCAAGAGCTTTAGACCCGCCTAGGTTATATAGAAGACCATGTCTCCACTGGGGGAGGCAAGAAAACCATCAGTGTCCCTGCATACATATATATGCACAGTCAATACATAGAACATCCTATGTGAAAAACAGATCTTGCCCTACATAGGAACCATGCATAAAACACAAAATGTGGGTAACAAATTTAACCTGTGGGGGTGGATAAGCAATGTAGACATCTTTGATGATAGGATACCTACCTACATTTAAGGTAGCCAAGGTGGCTTAGGGATATGCCACACTCATCATCATCATGACCCAGTATTGACCTGGAGAGATGGAATAGTCAGTAAAGTGTTTAAAGTGTTTGTCTTGTAAGCATGAGGACCTGAATTCTTCACTCCAGAATCCACATTTAAAAAAAAAAAAAAAAAAAAAGGAGATGTGGTGGCATATACACCTGTCACAGTTCTGGGGAGACTGAGACAAGTAGTCTCTTGAGGATGACCAGTCAGCTTAGCTTATTTACTAAGGTCCAGGCCAGTGGACCACTATCTCGAAAACTAGGTGTGTGTTGGAGATAGGGGAGGTGATGGCTCGGTGTGTAAAGGCTTTGTTCCCAGGCCTGACAATCTGAGTTCAAGCCCTAGGACCCATTTGATGGAAGGAAAGATCCAACTCCCAAAGTTGTCCTTTATCTTCTACACACAAATTTTATAGTATGCATGTGCTACACACAGAGAGTCAGACAGACACATACATACATACATACATACATACATACATACATACATACATACATACAGAGAGACAGAGAGAGAGAGAGAGAGAGAGAGAGAGAGAGAGAGAGAGAGAGAGA